TGACTTTCAAAATCAAATGCAGAAGCGTTGGAATGCTATCCTTTCATGATGGTGTCCACTTGAAGTTCATAGGGCTTTAGGTATAACGTCAGCAACAAGGGGACATGAGACAAACCTTCTCCATTGTTTAGCACCGAGGTGCAGAACAGGCACAGGACAAGCGGGCCCTGTGGCCCTACGGTCAGGTGCGCAGAGCACTCCGCCGAGGCCAGTGCTCGGTGAACGCGTTAACAGCTCCCATGGGACCTTCTCATGCGCAATCGTGAGTTTCCAGTTTGCTTGTTTGCACCTGCTGAGGTCTCCGCTGTCCCTGTCTCCATGGAACTGAAGAAGTTCTCTCAGTGAAGTCCGGGGCCTAATCTGACAGCTCAGCCTGAGGAGTGGGGACCCCAGGGGCTGTGTCAGCACAAGGCTCTGTCCTTGAAAGGGTGGTGGGCCCCCAGCCTTCTCAAGCCCCTGCAGCCCGTGTAGAGCAGGGTGGGCTTGCTTCCCATTTCACTGGGCATAGCGAGATGACAGGAAAAGGAAATACCTGTCCGAGGTCGTCTTTCTTCAGCATGGCCCTGTGCCACCTCCAGCCGTTTATACCCTTCTCTGTGGCCTCAATGGCAGGGGCCTGGAGTCACCCCACCCCCTCCCAGCTCCAATGTCTTTTTAAAATAGTGTAATGTATTTTAATAGCAAACGTACAGGAACGGCACGGAAGACAGACAACGTTAAAGCATCTGCTTGCTTGTAGGACAACTCAGAAAGTATAGTGAATGGGTGGAATCCGCTGTAGGATAAAACTGCTGCAAACACCATGGAGCTGCCATCAGTAAGAAATTTACTTGTTTAAAAAAGATCCAAATGCTCCAGCCCATTGTCCAGAAAAATTCAATAGGTTTATTTACATTGTTATGAAGTCGAAATGCTGAAACTGGTTCCTGAAACATTTTGACTTGCATTAATGCTTATGTCCCCCCGTTTATATTTAAAAATTCACACACAGATGAAAATGGAAAAACTGCCAATGCTTGATTTCTGTTCCCTACTTTCCACTTGCAATCATATACTTAGGTACCTTTTGACCCCATGGGAAAAAATAATCGAACTTTTGGAAGAAGAGAAATTTTTTTTTGTTTTAAAGAATGAAATGTTTCCCATCATAGTGGGTTCTTAAGCATGTGCGCCACGCACGCGGCGTGCAGGCTGGATGCCTGGCATAGTGGTTACACATTCGGCACGGAGAGCACACAGGTGGGTGTCTTCACAAAGGCCAACCAGACAGGCCTCACTCGCCCCTGCAGAGCACCAGCAGCTGCACCCTGGAAGGCAGATCTGTTTTAAGCCCTGAACAATTTCTTGCACCAGACGTTGGAAGGGAAGTTTGTGAATCAGAAGTTTAGAGGACTTCTAATAACGTCTCATTTCACGGAGTCCAGGGGTACCGGGCCTGTAACGATGAGGTTTCTTCACCCCTCCAGTAGAGGGCGCACCCAGCGGCTTCCTGGGTGCTTTACCCCTGTCGGCTTGCAGGCAGCCTGCTTTGAATGAGCCACAGTAGAGACCTCTGTACTGCCCCCTTCTCCTCGGGCTGGAGCTCCGGGATTGGGAGGCAGCTCTGCCATTCCAGCTCTGATGTCTTGCTGTCATCTCAGACTTGTCTTAAAGTTAACTCACCCTCCGTCCAGCTTCCCCGAGTCAACAGAAGGAGCCCCGCTCCTCCCAGCCCCCAGGGCATCAGCCTTGACTCGCCCTGCACAGCCACCAGTTCCCTGGTCCTGCCAGCCTCCGCAGCCATGGCTCCACTAGCCCGTCTTCCCTCAGCCACCGCCCCGGCCCGGCTGCTGCATCCCTAGGAGGAGGCAGCACTGTCCTGGGTCGTCCTCCAGCCCTGGCCTCATTGCAGGGCTCTCCCGCCTGAGAACTCGCCCGCTCCTCCTGAACGGCGACAGTGGTGACAATGGCCACAGTGGCACCTTTCTGTTCCACCTCACTCCCTGGCCCACCTGCTCCAGAAGCCTTGGCCCTTCCACAGGTTGATAAGAATAGACATCCCCCATGCCAGGCGTTTTACAGCCACATCGTTAACGTTTAAACGGCTGCGCAGCATAGGTATTATTGTCCCTTTTACAGACGAGGAAGACTGAGGCCTGGAGCGGTGACAACAGGTCACACTGCCTGTAAACAGCAGAGCTGGGATTCAACCCGTGTCCGTCTGCTCCGAAGCTCACCACCCCGCCAGCCCCTCCTCCGCAGGGAGCTCGTGTGCTCCTTGCCCCGCAGCTTCTTCAAGTCCCGAAACCCGCAGCTCTACCGCATGGCTTCCCCGACGGCTCCAGCCCACGCTGCTCACCCTCCTCGCTCAACTTCCCGGCAGGACTCAGCTTGCACAATTCGGTGCTTAGTTACAGACCGCCGGGCTGGCTCTCTGCTTACTTTACATTTGACTGTTTTGTTCCCAAGGAGCCTGGAAGTGTCTGAGTTCAGACATGGCACTTCACTCGTTCCTGTCCCCAAGGGTCCCCGACGCAGAGCTGGGTGTGCAAATACTTAGTGGGCCTGACCTGATTCCCCAGGACGGAGGCAGGGGCACGATGCTCCAATAGCTGAAGGGACTCCACCCTGGCACACCCCTCTCCTCCCCGGCGGAGAGCCTCAGATGTCTGCGCACACGCGCACACACACATGCACACACACACTCACTCACGCTCACATTTTCTCNTCCTCCCCGGCGGAGAGCCTCAGATGTCTGCGCACACGCACACACACACATGCACACACACACTCACTCACGCTCACATTTTCTGTCTGTTTACACACATTTAATCTAAAGGTCTCTTTCCAGAGGGAGCGATTCTATACCTGGAACGACCCACCCGAGAGAGAGGACTCCCTGTAGGGGTCCCGGGCGCTGCCCTCCCGTGGAAATCCGCGCGGTCAGTGAGGCCGCGGCGTTGGGGGAGCTCCCGGGGAGGGTGAAGCAGGGACAGCACATCCCACGGGGCGTGGAGCTGCGCTGGCCGCTGGGGGGGTACTTGGTGTCTCAGTTCTAACCCTCGTCCTGCCTCTGGGGGGCCTGGGGACCGGCAGAGTGGGGGGATTGCTGTGAAATGTTCAGGTTGCCAAGAAGACTCCCCTCTCCAGCGCCACGCACACAGCTCCAGAGGGGGCGCGAAGGGTGTCCCCTGGCACTACCCTGGTCGCCGTGCACCACCTCCCTACCCTCTGGGCTTCCAAAGTCTCTGTCCTGATCCCGATGCCCCCATGTCTGTCCTCTCAGGCTGCTCGTTCTTGGGGCTAAATGGTGCCATCTGGAGCTTCCCATCCCACAGCTGGAAGAAGGGTGTCCAGCCGGAAGCCTCGAACACTCAGAGTGTTTAGGGCTCAGGCTGATTTTGCCCGGACACCCCGAGGCAGCGTGAAGGTGGGGAGCTGGGTGCGAGGCTGCTGACGAAGGGTCGATGTGGCAGTGACAGCGAGAGGAGGCGCTGGGGCTGGAGCGCAGGCCGCGGGTGGGGCCCGAAGCCCGGCTCCTCTCCCTTTAGGATTTCGCCGGGGGCCGGTCCCAACACGTGAACAGAGCGTAAGCCAAGGGGAGCCTCTGTAGGAACAAATAAAAACAATTGTGCAACACACCGCACGGCGCCTGGGGAAGGAGCCCGGGGAGGGCG